TTAAGAAGTACAAGAAGAAATCTGGGAGTACAGTGTGATTAGCCATGGCAGTCAAATACAGAACCTCCATTTAAAGAGATAACAGACAACCCTGGAAATATCCAAATTCACAATGCCTTGCAAATCTTCCGAGATAACTGAGCATATTTTCAATCTTGGTTAATTCTTCTTTTTCCATAATCTAGCCACCCAGAGAAGCATTGAAAAATCCATTATGTTTATAATGACACCATCCTATGAGCAGTGACTAAATAAATAACCATAGAATGGAGGTTTTGTAATTATTTTGACATTTCGTCCAAACCAGAAGTACAACAATTTCTGGATCTGGCAATCATACCCTTTTTCTTCATTAGTTAACAAAAACCCCAGATTCAGAAGTTTATTTTTATAGATAACTAAGGTAAATTCAGAATGCAGATTGAGGCCTTTTTGTTAACTTAAACAAGCCAATGCTAAACTGTTACCGAAGTGCCAAATCATTTATCAACCATTTTATAGACCCATTTTCTCAACTAAAATGGGGAAAAACAGTGGTAAAATCTACTATCTGTTAGCGCTGCTCTTCAAAGCAAGGTGCTCACTGACAGAAGCCAAGCTCCCATTAAAACAAGTAAATAAAAAATGTATCTTAAAAAAATGACATGCTTCTGGAAGACTAGCTCAAGCATGTAAATAACAGTAGGCAAATGTGAATACTCAGCAGTTCTTAACACACACTTGCTGGTTCAAAATAGTGTCATACCTTTGGTAGTATTTTAGAGAAAAATGCTTGCTCCAGCTCAGAAAGATTGATGCGGGGTAGAAATTGCTCTGTCAAGATCCTTAAGACACCTGGGAATGAAAAAATTAAGAAAGTAAACCCATAATACTAAAAGACCCATTAAAAAAACGCATTTATTTAATATTAAAACAAATTGTTAATTTCCCAAAAAATCAAGAGTTACACTACAGTTTTAGCAACTGCCATAATACTCCATTCTCATTATTCTGTGGCATTGGTTTGCACAAAGCCTTGTCTGTACATACTCAACATTGTGAGAACTGAAACTATAGCCATAGATCTTTATAGCTTGTAAAAAGAGAGTAAAGGTATCAAAGATGGACCCAAGGATCAAGCAGTTTCCGAACACCTACAAACAATAACTGCTGGTTTCTGGTGCAGAAGGATTGTGGTGGGAAACTAGGAAAAAAGCTGTAGGTGCCAAACCAAGTCCGTTACCCTGCTCCCCAGCAGGACGTAACAAAACTGTGTCATGCAACATTAGTGGGGCTTCTTCCTTGGGGCAAAACTCCTAACTAACCAAGAGGCACAATTTCAGTGCATTTTGCCAACCAAGGTATACCGTATTTTTCGCCCTATATGACGCACTTTTCCCCCTCCAAAAATGAAGGGAAATGTGTGTGCGTCATATGGGGTGAATGCAGGCTTTCGCTGAAGCCTGGAGAGCGAGAGGGGTCGGTGCGCACTGACCCCTCTCGCTCTCCAGGCTTCAGGAGAGCCCCAGCGCCAGCCCCACAAGGTTGGGGGACAGCGGGGAGGCGGAACGCAGCGCATCTTCCCACTGTCCCCGGACCTGGTCTGAAGGCTGGCGGCGGGGAGAAGAACGCTTCTCCCCGCCGCCGGCCCCGCAAGCTCCAGGGACAGCGGGGAGGCGCAGCGCATCTTCCCACTGTCCCCGGACCTGGTCTGAAGGCTGGCGGTGGGGAGAAGAGCGCTTCTCCCCACTGCCGGCCCCACAAGCGACTGGGGGGGGACAAAATTTTTTTTCTTTATTCCCCCCCCAAAAAAACTTGGTGCGTCCTATGGGCCGGTGCGTCCTATGAGGCGAAAAATACGGTATGTGACTAGGCCGCATCCCATGTTCATGTCTGCAGGAGACATTTCCTGTACAATCATTACCAAACATGGAAGTAAATCCAATGCTTTTTTTCCTAAAACAAATGTTTAGGGGTACTCTTTTTGACTGAAGAAAATCACTATTTTATAGTGCAAATCGGGGAAATAAATACAGTAAATGGACAAAAGTACAAAGATTCACAAAATGTTTAGGGGTATACGTACCCCAGAAAAAAGCACTGAGTAAATCTAACTCAAGTTTGCACGGCATTTACTTACCGATACGCTGGGTCCAGCTATCAGATGTCTGATACATAGAGTACAAATACTAAGGAAAAACTGCATACTTATGCTGGCAGATAAAAGGCTGGCTCAAAACTACAGTCTTTTATCAACTTTCCCTCTGCTGCGAGGGAACAAAGGTACTTGTTGAATTCGCACAGCACACCAATGGCTTTGTTTCCTATTGCATTCCAACTGTACAGAATGGCACTATACTCAAAAGTTGTTGCTGTTATTAACTAAATTTATACAGATAGATTAGATATAGATATAAAGTAGTAGCAGTTATTATTTATACAGTGGTACCTTGCAAGATGAATGCCTCGCAAGACAAAAAACCCGCTAGACGAAAGGGTTTTTTGTTTTTTGAGCTGCTTCGCAAGACGATTTTCCTTATGGGCTTGCTTCGCAAGACGGAAACGTCTTGCAAGTTTGTTTCCTTTTTCTTAACACCGTTAATACAGTTGCGACTTGACTTCGAGGAGCAACTCATAGAACGCGGTGTGGTAGCCTTTTTTGAGGTTTTTAAAGACTTTGGTGATTTTTGAAGCTTTTCCGAAACTTTTCCGACACCATGCTTCGCAAGATGAAAAAAATCGCAAGACGACAAAACTCGCGGAACGAATTAATTTCGTCTTGCGAGGCACCAGTGTACTCCACCCATCTGGATATATAGATATGGAGAGAGATACTGCCCTTCATCCTGAAAAACACAGGGCAGCTTTGTAGTATATAAAAAACACAAGGTAACAAAACCCGGCTGCCCCAGGACGATGTTGGGTGTGAAAGTGCGCAGTAGTGACCCTTAACATTTTCCTTGGGGTAATATTTTGGATTTTTTTAATTATTATTTTTAAGCGATTGCCTTTGCCCCTCCCCCTTTACGTTTTCAAGCTGTTCTTATTTCTAACATGTGTCTTAAAAGGTAGCGACCCTGAGCATTCTCCTTGGGGGTCATATTTTGGATTTATTTTTTTTAAAACGATTGCCTTCCAAACCCCCCCCTCCCCCTTTACGTTTTCAAGCCATTTAGGGAAGCTTTTAATGTTTAACAGACTATTCTATTTTAATATTTTGTTGGAAGCCGCCCAGAGCGGCTGGGGAAACCCAGCCAGATGGCATGTGGGCGGGGTATAAATAATAAAGTATATTATTAAAACAAAAAAAAATTCCTTCCAGTAGCACCTTAAAGACCAACTAAGTTAGTTCTTGGTATGAGCTTTCGTGTGCATGCACACTTCTTCAGATACCTATTTTCGTATACCTATATTCGTATCTGAAGAAGTGTGCATGCACACGAAAGCTCATACCAAGAACTAACTTAGTTGGTCTTTAAGGTGCTACTGGAAGGAATTTTTTGTTTGTTTGTTTTGACTATGGCAGACCAACACGGCTACCTATCTGTAACTGAATTATTATTATTATTATTATTATTATTATTATTATTATTATTATTATTATTATTATTATTACTAACCTGAGTCGCGGGGGGGGGTGGACGGGGACTGCGGGGTAGAAATACATTAAATATATATATATTTTTAAAGGGTGAGGAGGCCCACGGAAGTCCCGGGCCACGAGGAGGAGTGGAAGGACCCCACAGATTATGGTGGGTGGGATGAGGGGCGTTTATGAGGGGGTTTCTTTCACAAACAGAGAGACACGCTCTCCGCTTCTTCCCCGCCAAGAAAGGATATGATGAGGCGGGGCAAGGCCGTGGGGAGTTGGCCGAGGCCCAGCTCCGAGGCCCGGCCCTCCACCTCCGACAGCGGCGGCGGCAGCGTCTCGGGCTCCACCTGCGACATGATGGCGGCGGCGGCGGCGGCCTGGGATTCCCCTCAGGCGGCGGCGGCGGCGGCTTCGAAGATTCCCCTCAGGCGGCGGCGGCGGCGCCGCTCGAATCCGGCGCCCTGGAAGATGAGGCCCAGCCCCTTTCCCGGCATCCCGTCAGGCCTCGCGAGGAAGGAAGGAAGGAAGGAAGGCGGGGACGACGACGACGGCGGAGAGGGCCGCGCGCGCGAGGAGCTGAGGCGGCAGCGGAGCCACGCGAGGCCGGCGGGGAAAGAGGCGCCTGGGAGTTAAGGGGAGAAATCCCGGCGGGGCAGGCCTCGCCCCAAAGCCCGCTTTCCCGGCGCTGCGAGTCATCCTCTTCCTTTTTAAAATAAAAGTCCAACTTGCTGGGCCCAGGCTGTTGAACGACGACTGGCAAACCCACCCGAGCCTCCAGTTGCCAAAATTGTGAGGGGTGAGAAATGAACAGCGTAAAGCCTTGAAACGCCTCCGTTTCCCGTCCTTGCCTTTCGGTTGCTTTCTGTGGCCGCCCCAGAAAAGGTTATTTCGCCCCTTGCTTAGAGCTTTCCCTAGAAAAGAGCTCGCTAGAAAGAGGAAAACTATGCATTTTCTAAATAAGGTGCAGCTGTGGCTGTAAGATTATATCTATATCCATATAGAGATATAATTTTGTATTTATGATTTTCATTTATGTGCATTTCAGTAATTTTTTACAGTCCTAACATTTCGACCCTCGACTTCCTCCTCTTTCTGCGGTTCCTTAAATTTATTTATTTTTACATTTCCGGCGCACTCCAAAGTAACTTGTCCATTTATTCCTCTGCTTTAAATATATGCTCTTAGGAAACGGCAGGTCATTACGACGTATGAGATATAAATGTTATATACATTTCAATAATGTTACAATCCTAACATTTTGACCATCAGCTTCCTCTTTCTGCAGTTCGTTAAATTAATTTATTTTTACATTTCCGGCACGCTCCAAATTAACTTGTTCATTTATTCCTCTGCTTTATTCCTCTTAGGAAACTGCAGGTCATTTCGACGTGTGAGATATAAATGTAAGTGCGTTTTCACATGCATGGCATGTATCTACAGTCTATTTCATATTCACGTAATAATAATTCTAACGTATGGATTTGCTTCAAAAATGGAAGCTCTTCGAAATATAGAAGATCATTGATCCGCTTTGCGTATTATTCTATATCTCAACTTTTGCAGCAGCTTTCCTGGATTTCAGACAGAGGCCTTTAGCAGTGTCAACACCTTGGGATGTCTGAGATTTGAACTTGAGACCTTCCGCATGCAAAGCATGTGCTAAAACCCCGGAGCTACACTCATCCCTCTACCCCCCCTTAAGTTCAAAGTCAAGAGGTGCTGCGTTTAAGCTGGCCGAAGTTTCGAACTCGCACCACTCCTCAGTTGGCAAGAAATAATAGCTTCATCGACTCTGAATCTCAAAATTTGGATTTCCAGATAGGGATTCTAGGTTGACTCAGGCCCTGAAATGCAGGGGGCATATCTGGGAATTAAGAAGGTGGTGCCTTGCAGATAAAGGATTGGGAGCACAGCCCTGCAAGAGAAGGCTTTGGTGACATGGTGTGAAGCCCCTGGAGAGGGTGCAAAGAATCTGGCTGAACCTTGAAAGGTTTGGGCAGAGTCTCGGTCAACAAGTGAGTGAAGTTCTGTCACTTCTCGGAACCCACAAACATATTTCTTCTCAGACTTGGAGTGTTAGGGGAACCAAGAGCTGCTCACAGTTCTTTTCCACCTCGCTGATGAAACAAACAAGTTAGACAAACAGAAGCCAGGAAAAATTGTGGGGCGGGGGTTGCAATTGGGGTTTATGTAAGAGTACTTTCACATAGTTTGAAAGATGCTGGTGGAGAATGTGGTCACAAACTGATGCCAAATGGGTTAACAGCATACTTAATATTGTAGAGGAGGGAGAAAGGTTGTTTTCTGCTGCTCCAGAGAAGCGGACACGGAGCAATGGATCCAAACTACAAGAAAGAAGATTCCACCTAAACATTAGGAAGAACTTCCTGACAGTAAGAGCTGTTCGACAGTGGAATTTGCTGCCAAGGAGTGTGGTGGAGTCTCCTTCTTTGGAGGTCTTTAAGCAGAGGCTTGACAGCCATATGTCAGGAGTGCTCTGATGGTGTTTCCTGCTTGGCAGGGGGTTGGACTCGATGGCCCTTGTGGTCTCTTCCAACTCTATGATTCTATGATTCTATAATATTGCTCTTTGCTGTCCCCATAAGCTGAAACGTAATACTTCTGAAAGCAAAGGCATCGGATTGAAGTTGGTTTGGACAAACCTGTCCTCACAAAATAAAAGGACATATTCTGTCCATAATAGTTTGTTTACTTTGAACAGGGCTTCATAAATTTCCTCCCAGCTGGAGGGAGAGCATCAAAGAGCAGTGTTGGGGGCTTTGGGGTACATTTTAACCATCCTCAGCTATCCCATCTCAACATTGTGAAAAACAGTAGTAGTATTTTTATATATAGTACTTGTTTATTAATTTAATTTAGACCTCCCTCACTGGGAGAGCCCAGTGCACCAAACAGGATACACAATATAAAAACAAAGCAAAAACATTTTAAAACTCTTAACAATATATTTTTTAAAAATGCTGTTATCTCTTTACTCTGTCAAATACATTTCTTTTTTCTTTTTAAAGGAGGCTTTTATTCAAAGAGGTAGTGGAGTCTTCATAGTAGAAGATCTCACAGTGAAGACTAGACTGGATCGGAAAACTTCCTATCAGCACAGCACAGCCTACTTCCTTTGGAGTGTCTTTGCGCTTCATGCTTTGCATATAAACTCTTCATTTTACCTGCTTTACAGGAAAATGGCATTTCAGTTCAACTTCTCTATTGACAGTGCAGCAGAAAACGGAATAGAGGCAGTTGGGAATGGAATGGAGGAATTGGTACAGGAGTCTTTAGTCATTTTGGACAAGCAAGAGAACACTACAGGAAAGAGTAAGGAGGTTTCCTCAGAAGAAACAATATTAAACCAGGAGGATTTATCAGAAATCCCTGCTAATGTGGCAGGCAACAGCTTTTTGAGTAAAAGCAACATTATGCCTAAAGAAGGCTTGTGCCTTAAATGTGCCAAGGAACATAATCTCCCTGAAGATTTCCAGAAATTGTTTAAAAACAAAGTTGTGGGGACCCTCCTTCCAGGTACACGCTATGCAAATATTTCTGTGGTGGAGACAGCACCCTCTGAAAACGCTGTTGGGGAAGACATTGTGTCACAAAGTGTTTCTTCTCATTCTGACCTAATCACAGGTGTCTATGAAGGAGGTCTGAAGATCTGGGAGTGTACCTTTGATCTCATGGATTATTTGTCAGAAGCTGAAATTCAGTTTGCACACAAGTTGGTTTTGGACCTTGGCTGTGGGGCCGGGTTGCTGGGAATAGTTGCATTAAAAAGAAATGCCGAACAGGTCCATTTTCAGGACTATAACAGCACTGTGATTGAAGAACTAACCATGCCTAATGTATTGGTCAACTGTGCTAATCAGGGTGATGATGTTGAAGGAAATACTGAGCTTTCTCTAAAACAATGTCCAAAGAAGGACTTTACCCAAGACTTGTTTTCTAAATGCAAATTCTTTTCAGGGGAATGGTCAGAGTTTAGTAATCTATTAAATGGCAGTAAGCCTTTAGCAAAATATGATCTCATACTCACCTCTGAGACTATTTATAATCCAGACTACTATGAGGCTTTGCATGAAACACTTTTAAAATTACTGAGAATTAATGGGTGTGTTTATTTAGCTAGCAAAGCACATTACTTTGGATGTGGAGGTGGGGTCCACCTTTTTACAACATTTATTGAGAAGAAAAATGTGTTTAAGTCTAGAATTGTTAAAGTTATTGACAAAGGCCTAAAGCGTTTCATTATTGAGCTGGTTTTTAAGAAATCCTGTTAACGTGATCAATGTGTTAGTAAATACTTTATTGTTGTTTTGCTTTCATGCAGCTCTTAGAGTAAATTGCTAACACATTTTTCTTGATTTATGGTTGTGAATTTGTTCCCTGATCCTATTGATTCTGCATCTACAGAGTCTTTGCTAGAAATTATATTCTTTTTTAAAAAAACAAAACAGTTTTGAGATCAATTGTTCTGAATACACCAGTGTTTCCCAACCTTTTTTGGGCAAAGGCACACTTGTTTCATGAAAAAAATCTCGAGGCACACCACCATTAGAAAATGTTTAAAAAATTAACTCTGTGCCTATATTGACTATATATAAAGTAACTCTCTTTAATAGGAATCAAATAAACACAAAGAAAGTATTTTATAATTACTTTATTATGAAATAGTAAGTAAACAGAAATATGAAAAATTATAAAATACTTTATTCAGTGCGCAACCTGGGCCTGTTTGGCTGAACACAAAGCTGATATTCTGGCTGGAATCGAAGAAAGACACACACGTAGCTCTTCGTCAACAGCTCTCAGTCTCTCTCTGTATTTAGTTTTTATAGCAAATGAAGGAAGAGTAAGCAGGCTGGGGTGGGTTAAGTAAGGGCTGAAAGTGCCTAGATGAAGTGGGGGAAGCTAGAGAGGAGGTACATTCTGACGTTTGAGGATAGACTAGGTTCTTTATGTGAATGATAGGTGAGTTATTTGACAGATCGAACTGAGAGCAAGGTGTGGCTTGTGTAGCTGGGGTGGACATGAATGTTTGGGGTGCAAACCCCAGGCCGGCCAGGTCCGAGGGGGGGCAGGGAGAGACGGGCCTGCCTGCCTCTGCCTGCGCTGTGGTGTGTTTTGCCCCGACCGACGGACGGACCGACCTGCCAGCTGTCTCCGCAGTAGCAGCGCGGACTGGAGCTCCGTCATTCTCCCCGCCGGTGCCCGGGGAGGGGAGTGTGGGGCGGCCGCTGTGGAAGCGACGGCGTGCTCCTCCTCCTCCTCCTCCTCTTGCCGGGCTAGAGCCAGCCGGCTAGCGCTCGCCCCTCCTTGCTCGAGCCGACCCCGCCGCCGGGGGCCTTCCCGTCCTCTCAGCGGCGCCGCCTCGCGTCCCTCGTCCGGGGGTTGGGAGGGGGCTGGGAGGGAGGAAGGGGGCGAGGGGAAGCAGCCGCCGCCGCTCCTGAGGAGATTCTGAGGCGGTGGCGGGCGACGCGTGGCGGAAGAGGAGGGGTCCCGCCAGCCCCGCGTTTCTCTCTCTCTCTCCCTCACGGAAACCTTCCCCTCAGCTTCTGCCGCTTTTTCTCTTCTTTCCCTCTTCCTTTTTTTTTTTAAAAAAAAATGAAAAATCTTTCCTTTCTCTCTTTTCCAGCCCCCCCTCCCCTCTTCACGGAATTTCACTGCACTCGGGCGGCGCGCAGGCGCACTGCTCGCTCCTCTTTCCGCGCAGGCGCCTTCTCTCGCTCTTTCGCCTCCTTTTCTTTCTCTCTCGATGGTCCGCCTACAAAGGAGCGAGGGAGGCGCCCGCCATGTTTGGATTTGCATCCAGCAGGAGATGCCGCCGCCGCCCGCCTCTCGCCGCCCGACTCGCCCGCCTCCCTCCCACGGCACACCAGGCAACGTCTCGCGGCACACTAGTGTGCCGCGGAACACCGGTTGGGAAACACTGGAATACACAATGCTTTCTTGATGTCTGCAAGATCTCTTTTGTTGACTGAACTTGGTCCAACAATTTTTTTGTTTATTTATTGATATCTCAATACATATACAGTGGTACCTCGGGTTACATACACTTCAGGTTACATACGCTTCAGGTTACAGACTCCGCTAACCCAGAAATATTACCTCGGGTTAAGAACTTTGCTTCAGGATGAGAACAGAAATCGTGCAGCAGCGGCAGCAGGAGGCCCCATTAGCTAAAGTGGTGCTTCAGGTTAAGAACAGTTTCAGGTTAAGAACGGACCTCCGGAACGAATTAAGTACGTAACCAGAGGTACCATTGTACAAAATGTTTACATAACATTACATATACATTATACTTGTAAATTCACATTTTTCATTTCCTTATGTATCAACATTTAGTCATTTATTACTTCTTGTCTTTACCCTATGTCTTCCCTCTACCCATGCGTGACTTCCTAATTTTTATTTTATACCTTTATTGTTGTGATTGTATTCTTGTATCTTAATAATTAAACATGCATTCTTTTATATCTATTTAAATTCACTTTGTGAGATCAGTCTATACATATCAATTAATTTTTGTTGGAGCATCTTTTAATCATGTATTCGTCTACACACTTCCATTCCTGTTTGAGATTTTGGTTAGATTGCATTCTAATTGTTGCCGTCATTTTTGCTAATTCAGTCATTTCAAAAAATTTATGTTGCCAATCTGCCACTGATAGTACTTCTTCTGATTTCCAATTTTTAGCAACCAATAACCTAGCGGCGGCTGTTGCATATAGAAAAAAATCTCTTCATGTTTTGGGGGATGTCATTTGTTACGATTCCTAAAAGGAATGCTTCCAGCTTTTTACCAGTTGTTATTCTGAACATTCTTTTCAATTCCTCATGTATATTTCCCTCCCCCAAAAAATTAATTTTATCACATCCCCACCAGACATGATACAAAGATCCCTCTAATACCTTACATCTCCAACACAAATTCAATGTTAATTTATAAATTTTGGCTAGTTTTACAGGGGTTAAATACCACCTGTAAAACATCTTCATAATATTTTCTTTGATAGTAATACATGTGGTGAAATTAATATCTGATTTCCAAAGTTTTCCCCATTGATCTAATAGAATCGCGTATTCGAAATCCTGTCCCCACTTGATCATTACTTCTTTAATTTATTCATCTTTGAGTTCCCATTCAAGTAGTAAATTATACATTTTTGATAGATTCTTTTTGGAATTTTTCAAGAGTTCTAACTGGAATTTTTATTCTTCTTTTTGGAAACCAATTTTATTATCAGAGTTAAATTTATCATATAATTGATGATATTGTAGCCAAGTGGTACAAAACTGTTTTAAGTTCTTCATAGGGTTTCCGTTTTAGTTGTCCTTGCTCTTCCTTTAAGTTGCTTGTACGTTACTCCTAATTTTTCCCATATTTTTCTTTTTTATTGATACCATTTCAAGTGGAGCTGCCCACCAGGGGGGCTTTGGTTCTGTGATATTTCCTCCATACTTTGATAAGAGAGTTTCTTATTATATGGTTCATAAATCCTTGATGGACCTGTTTTCTTATCTAGGAGATAAGCATATCTCCCAACAATTTATTTTTTTACCTATTTTGTCTAGATTGACACTGCTTCTACAATAATGTTGTATGCATATGTTCAAATCAAATGAACATGTAGATTCATTTTTGTTGTTGTTTAGTCGTGTCCGACTCTTCGTGACCCCCTGGACCAGAGCACGCCAGGCACTCCTGTCTTCCACTGCCTCCCGCAGTTTGGTCAAACTCATGCTGGTAGCTTCAAGAACACCATCCAACCATCTCGTCCTCTGTCGTCCCCTTCTCCTTGGGCCCTCCATCTTTCCCAACATCAGGGTCTTTCCCAGGGAGTCTTCTCTTCTCATGAGGTGGCCAAAGTATTGGAGCCTCAGCTTCACGATTCATTTTACACAAAGGTAAATCTAGCCAGGAGTACCAAGGCAGATGCATTTGTGAGCAGAGCTAAATAGTAACAGCTGTCCTATGTATCCTTTGCCAATGATAATCAAGAGTATGCTAATATTTTTGCTCAAGCTTCTGCTAGAGATGTGGATTCCCCTCACAGCTACAGTTGCCTGGGAAGAAGGGATGGCTGCTAAAGTACAGTACTGCTTTATATAGTGAAGATGGAGCTTCAGTGCTCAGTGTTGTTTTATGAGCCCCTCTGGGAGCACATACGTGGAAAAGCCTCAAACAATTTGCAATACTAATAATTGGTTCTTTTTCTTTTCTTTTTACACACAGCCCTGATGGCCTGCATGCATGTGCCATCGGTCTTCTACAGTTCTCAGCATCTTCAGTCCCTCTTCCCAAGGAGCTCTGGGAATTGTAGCTCTGTGAAGGGAATAGAGATTTCTTAACCATACTCAGCATCTTGAACAGACTACAATTCCCAGGATTTTAGAGGGGAAGCCATGACTTTATAATGATATACGTTATTTTAATGTATATTGTGGATAGAACTGTAGCGATGGTGGCATTTTCTCCACACCCACTTTTGATGGCCTTTGAGCAAGACTTAAGCCCCCTTTTTATATTATGCTGGCAGTGTAATAATAAATAATAATAATTTATTATTTATACCCCGCCCATCTGGCTGAGTTTCCCCAGCCACTCTGGGTGGCTTCCAATCAAGTGTTCAAAACAATACAGCATTAAATATTAAAAGCTTCCCTAAACAGGGCTGCCTTCAGATGTCTTTTAAAAAGAAGATAGCTGCTTATTTCTTTCACATCTGGTGGGAGAGCGTTCCACAGGGCGGGTGCCACTACCAAAAAGGCCCTCTGTCTGGTTCCCTGTAACTTGGCTTCTCGCAGTGAGGGAACCACCAGAAGGCCCTCGGAGCTGGACCTCAGTGTCCGGGCAGAACAATGGGGGTGGAGACGCTCCTTCAGGTATACTGGACCGAGGCCGTTTCAACACAACATCAAGGAGGAAAGACATCAGGAATGCTCTTAGAGAAGCAATTGTTGCTGCCCATGAAACAGAGAAAGGTTATAAAGCCATCTCCAACCAAGCAGGCTGGGCACCATTGCCCCGCAATCCCGGGCTGCTACCTGGTGGGGGGGGAGGGAGGGAGCCGCAATACTTTGCTGGTGGTGTAAGGTCAGGAATATAAGCCGCACTTTAACTTTTCATGATCAGAATTTGGGGGGAAAGTGCAGCTTATATCTGGGTCAATACAGTACATCTCAGGCTCTATAGACCTCAGCATGTTAAATTTTAAAGTTCATGACAGTACAATTGGAAAAAGATGGAATCAGTATGGCTTGCTTGGAAGGACTGTCAGGAGAAAGCCTCGATCTAAAAAGGAACATGGCAACAAGGCTTTGGTTTGCAAAGTTGCAACTGAGCAAACAACAAGACTTCTGG